GGATTGCCTCAAGATCGGAAAAAAAGATGATCATCCCGCACAATCTTTGCGAGCACTTTCTTGATTTTGCGAGCGCTGTCTGATTAGATGGTGTTTTTCTCCAATCTCAATTCGAGCGGAAATCCCTCGAGCAAAGATTTGTGTCCCAAACGATGGTCTAGGATGTAGTAGAACTGTAAATGGGTGTGAATACATGGTAGATGTTTTTGCACACGGATGGGTGCCCTGTTAGGGTGCTGATTATGTCATTTTGATCATCCCGTGAATAACCCCCTTGAAGGAATTTAGACCCAACACCCTAAACACTGCACCCTATATAACCCTATATCATCCCCTATATAACCAACTTTAGGGAGCTTAGACGCTAGTTCATATGATCTTGGGTGTACACTGGAGGGAGTCCAAAGTTCAGAAGCTCCGAGAAAGCGAGGCTAGACCGGAAGACCTGCGAGGAATCCTAAATCCTAAACCTTAGTGCCTGAATCCTACACCCTGGCACTCAAATCCTAATACCTTAATCCATAAACCCTAAAGCCTGATCCCAAACCTAAAACAATAGCACCTCAATCCCTAAACCCTAAACCCTGATACTCAAAACCGAATACCTCAATCCATAAAAACCCTATACCCTGATCCTAATTAACCCTAAACCCTATACCCTGATACTAAATTTTCTCCATACCCTCCGAGGCACACTCTCCATTGGAGAAGACGCCCTGCTCCAGCACAGAGTTTGGACAGCAAACGCGGGAGCCTCCGTTGTAGATACCTGAGGTTTCAGAGATGAAGGATGAGGATTTAGATTTTTCGGGTTGGGGTCAGGGTTTAAGATTAAGGGTTTAGAGCTATAGTCTAAACTCCTAGTACCCCCCCTACTATACTCCCCTATACCTATATAGCCCTCTTTATAGGGGGTAGGCTTCAAGACTGAGGGTTCAGGCTTTAGGCCCTAAACCCTAAATACCCTAAACCCCAAACCTCAGGTACAGGGTGCGGGGCTTTAAGCAGTTTGCTGCTAGAGGGGGGTTCCAAAAACGGGGGGGGGTACCATAAAAGGGAATATACGGGTCGTATAGGAGGGAAGCATAACATGGATTATATGGGGGTTATATAGGGTTTAGGGTTTCCCTAAATGAGGGATCCCATTTTGGGGGCCCCCATAATAAGGAGTACCCTTATTTTGGGAAACTACTATATCTCAGGGCTACTGATAACGGCTCTGTGGGGACACTAGTGCGAGCTTTTCTTCAAGGGAACCCGCTTCAAAAATTCCAGTGAAAATTCAACTTTCCACTTAAGTTTGATTCGCGCCGTACATCTTCCACGATCTGCAATGGTACCATTTCAACAGCACCCCATCAGTGCCTTATATTGAATTCGGCTGGGCGTGGCAAATTTAGCGGATAGCGGTTTGTAGGACTTATGGGGCTGTCTGCCTGGAAACCCCTGCATTAAATGCCAGGCCTTTGGGCTCGAAAGGCCAAGGAGTTTTGACAGAAACTGCATCAGAAAGCGAGTCCCCAGTGTTTGAGCCCGTGTCATCCTTATGCAGTTGTGGGAAAAAACGACCTCAAGTACTAAGGCCGCTGTATTGTGGGGAGTGAAGCGGCATTTTTGATTTGAGCCCTTCTGGACAGGCCTTACGTACGGTGTAGTGTTTTCAAGATCCCTACTGCTATTAAGACTTGCAAACCTTCAATGGCATTTGGGGCATGTGTAAGGTTCGCAATGATTGCTGGACGTTCTAAGCTAATTCAGCTCTGTGTATGTACCCGGAGCACCCAACACACTCTCACTAAGAAACATACTTCGAGTCCTTAATCTGATTCAACGAGTATTTCCGAACTGAGCAATATTGGCTTTGGGCTCTGTGTGGTGTTTACGATGCTTGCAAAGTTTGCGGGGTTGATGGGCGTACAAGACCGTATGCGTTTGTCCCTTCTTCTGGTAAAGAGGCTTAAGGGGTCGGGGGGCCTGAAATACCTGTGCTCTGAAGGGTCTCAAGCTGTACCCCTACTTGGTTGGCGTTTGGATCCCTTTGAAAAAAATGTGTACCCAGGGTCCGTATGAAACTAATAACAGAAAATATCTGAATGTCCCTAAGCCTCTGCAGGAAAAAAGAGTTAGCAGGGCCGCCTCAACCCTAAAGCCTGAATCCTCAACCATCTTCGGCCGCCTCCAGACTAGATAAAAACAAAGGGGAAATTGGGGTTAGCAGCTTTGGGCTTATGGCTTAAGCTAGCGTTGTTATTGCGGCCAGACACTGACAGAGACGAAGTGTGAGTTGTAGTCTGCCTGGGCTCTGGGATTCATGGTTCATGTCCCTCTTCCATAAATCATGTAAGGAAACTGATGCAATTAGGGGTGGGGCTTCGGTGCTCGCCTTGTACCGCAAGTCCTAATCAGATCAACCCCGCATTGTCCACCTGAAAGCCTTCCATCCCCAAACCCCAACCCTTCCAAGAAAACCCCTTCACTGAAATCTTCATCTGGGAGGACTGTCCTGTGGCTACGGTACGACCCTGGCAGTAAGACAAAAGAACACAAGCCTGCTCCCCAGCCCTGATCGAAGCCCGGAAAATCCTAGACCGAACCCTGCCTGTCTAGAGGGTTTAGGGTTTGTTTAGGGCTTCGGGTCCCCATTCTTCTTTTCAAAAATATCACGGGCACATCCCCAAATCCGTAGCCCCCTAAGTGAAAGCTCCAAACCAAACATCGTAAGCCCAAACATGGGGCCATAATCTTGGACCCTCTTCAGCCTTGAGGTCCCCTAGAATGTGTTTTGGGGCCCGCTTATTGAGGATCAGGGTAATGATGGTGAGGTCCCTTATAATAGCAATAATAATAACAATAACAATATTAATCATAATACTAATAATGATGTTTTGATTTTAGGGCCCTAAAATATGGGAAAGTTTTCATTCTCTCTAATTGTGAAAGGGATGCCTTTTAAACATCCTTTTGCCAACTCAGCTTTCAGAGCTGTAGATTCAGAATCCAGATACCAAATCCTAAGCCTGCAGCCAACAGGTTTGACTTAAGACCTCTATTCAGCCCTAGTCACTTGGGCAAAGGGGGTAGTCCAGCAGGCCTCTCGATCCTCTTTACCGCCCCTTGTTTTGAGGTCCTCTTTAATCTGGCGCCTTGGGACCCTGTGAGTTTCGGGGCCAAGACCATACCCCTTTGAATGAATCCCCAGAGCCCTCAGAACCGCAGGAGGTGTTGAGGGGCCGTATTGGGGGTCCTTTCTTCTTAGTTTTCTGGGGACCTTATTGTTAGGGGAGACGGGAAGTGCTCCCCGCATTCAATCCCACACGCCTGAACACCCTAAACCTCCATTAGATCGAAAGGCCTAAACCAGCCCTTGAACCCCCAAAACCTATCCTCCTAAACCTTTCAGCCCCCAAACCCCTTAACCCCATATCCCGCCTGAGATCGAATGTGTCGGCTGAGAACTGCCCACAGGCCGATCTCCTCGTTCACGGGCGGCGCCCTTCGCAGGCGCACGCGGAACCTGGACAGACTTCCAGCTTGCGACTTCAGGTGCAGCGTTCAAAGCGTAGCCTATCATGAACAGTTCATTGTCTATGCTGTTCCTCCCTTCTCATGTGTTGATTTCGATACTGATGCTGCTACTACTGCGGAAGGAGGGAAGTTCGTCGCACTAGCGCGTGCAGGTCCTACCAAAACCCTCTTGCCCGTAGACTCGTCCACCAAATCCTGTGTCTGGACCTGGACCACTTAAGGTAGCATATATTTGTTCCAGGGTCATACCTCCGGTTGCGGTGATGTGGTAACAGCGGCTCCATAGCTCTGACAAGAAGATCAAACATAGGCATCACGTTGATCAAGATTCATTTGGCAGGAAGAACTGGCCAAAGCGATCCAGCCCCAAGGCCTGTGAAATATATCACCCTCATCTATGAACCCTCAACCCCAAAACCCACAGCGCCACACCTAAACCTGAAACCTTGAATCGCAGGCCGAGACACTGAGGATTGAAAGCTAGGAGGTCCGTGTCGTCTGTCAGAGTGCTGTGCACGAAGTGGGGCCACGGATTCCTACATGATCTGGGGTGGTATGGTTCAGGGTTTGGGGTGAAGGTCTCAAAAAAGCAAAGGCTTGTGGCCGCGCACTGGGTCTACTTTAAACGTTGCAGAAGTCCGTACACAATTTGGGGGTTTCTTTGAGCTATAGCATTGCGTATGCGAGCCTTGAGGTTTTTAACTTGCTGGTCTGACGTTTTTCGTTCTGGAGCTGCAGGAGTTATAGGCTAAGGGAATGCCTCAGGGGTGTTCACACAAGGCAGGATCGACTTTTGCATGTGCATACGTCCGTGCGGTCCACCCCGAAGGGCACTCCATGCACGAATGACAAAACACACGTGCCAGTACCATCATACCCCTAAACCCTACAAATTAGACTATTATCGCTACTATTGTTACTCTTATTGTTATTATTGCTGAACAGTTAGACATTAAAACCTGACCCTCCAAGCTGGACCCAGGTTCCAGCAGCCATGGACTGTGGCGGAATTCAGGCACAGCGCTGTCGGCGACCAAGCGACGTAGAAGTGGCTGAAGAATTGTAACACCTCCTCTGCGGATGTATGTATATCTACCCCTATATGTGAATATATATATATATGCACATCGTGGACCCTTAGGCCCTAGGTTTGTTTAAGGGCGTCGTGGAGATGCAAACCGAGGGATTTGGGCACGGGCTTCAGCGTTCACCGTGAATGGACCAAACCCTGCTTGGCCATCAGTACCAGTATACCAGGCAGACTTTTAGGTGAATGTGGAAGAGGCTCGTGCAGGCTGTTGCCCCACACAAGCTTAGGATGACATAGCATGGAGGAATACGCAGAAGTCATCAGGACTGCGGGCAGAAGTCTCCCCCACCGCTTTTTCCAAACACAAATTTCGATGATGGGGTGCTTCCGGTCGCGGAACCAACAATTGCACTCTTACCCCTGGGGATCCAAAAAGTAGCCCACTGTAGGAAACATGTACTGACTTTAGGATAGATTTTGTACTTGGATCCCAAGGGTACTCTCAGCTTGCGGACAAAAGTTTCAGCTTTGGCACCTGCACATGCTCATAGAAGAAGCCTTGCACAACCTTACATAGGTAGTTTATGCCCGGGGAGCACAACATTTTGAAGGCCCTGGGTGGCGTCATCCTGACTACTTGAAGCTTATAAATGGGGTAACCCCCATAAAACCATTCAGGGGGAGTATAAGTAGAGTCATAAGCTACTAAGTCCCCTGAACCCCGAAATCCCAAACCTCAAGCGTCTGTATTATCAACCTACTTACAAACTCCCCTGATGCTCCAAGGATGAAGCAAGCGCATGGAAACCAACCCTGGCCCTAAATCCTAAACCATGATACTCAAACCCTAATACCGGAATCCATACACCCTCTACCCTGATCCTAAACCCTAAGCCCTACGTAGACCCTGAACCCTAAACAAACAAGCTCAATCCTGGAGTCTGAGCCCGGACCCCCTTACACACCAAACTCAAAGCACGAGACTCCCGTAACTCCCAACCCTGAACCGTGAAACTCCTACACCCTAAGGGTCCAACGACTCAAACAATGGTGTACTAGGGCCAAAATTATGTTATCTAAATGGTGCTTGGGACCTAAAGCCCTAATATTTGGGTCTTTGGACCCTTAGGGCTACAGTTATGGACAAAATCATGTGTGATTCTAAGTGTGCGATAGTACCACTCTCACGCAGTGATCCTCTGTACCCTAGGGGGTTTGGATCCCAAAGTGATGCAATATAGGCCTTTATAAAATAGCGTATTTGGGCCCCCCAAACTAAGGTTACAAGCCTGGAGGTTCCGAACTCAAAGTCTTTGGCTAAGCTATAGGAAGCAAGTGGTACAGGTTGGCACTCCGCAGCAGCTATTGTTGGAGAATTTTGGGCAACCCCAAGCCACAAAATTTAGGCCCGCTGGCTGTCATATGACTATGATGGGATCATTGTTTGCAGAGTTTTGGCTCCGAAGATCCTCGTATCAAAGCTACGCACCACAGTTCCTTGCTTTCCTGCCCCAAGAAAGAATTTCCCAACTTGGAGGTACTGATCGATACTTGGGGCCCAAAGAGGTTCCTTCACAGGCAGTTTGGGGCCTCGATCAAGGTATATTGTACATACGTACCTGAACCCCTCTGAAAACAGGGTATGTTACCTAAACCCTACACCCTAAATCCTAAACCCTAAATCCTAAACCCTAAACCCCAAACCCTAAACCCTCAACCCCAGACCCTAAACCCCAAAACGTAGGCCCTTAACCCTAAAACCTAAACCCCAACAGGCAGGCCCAGACCCTTAACCCTGGAGGCGCCTCCCAGGCTATCCAGAAGGACCCATCGTCCTTTGAAGCAGCTGCAGCGCTGTCATAGTTCAGGGCCTCTGCCAAACCTAGACGGCTGCTGGGTAAGTATTTAGGGTTTGGGGTTTAGGGTTTAGGATTTAGGGTTTAGGATTTAGGGTTTTGGGCTTTATAGGGTGCAGGGAAGCCCGGACCACATGCACAGTTGGGAATTTGGGGTTTGGGGGTCCTCCGAAATAGTGATGTACAGATTCGTTAGTATAGGCAACCATACAATCCAGAGGAACACATCTGTGCACCTGCTTTTGTGGGTCTCTGCTGCTGGGGCCGGGCCTCCTTAGATTCAGAACTTAACTAAACGTCTGGGCGGACACCTCACATTCCTGAATGCTCAAGAGTTAAACAGGGGCTGAGGCACGATGCAGCAACAAATAGTCTTGTATCGCTTCATCGTGCATGGTGTCACCGTGTTGACATTCCAGGGTTTTCAACATCATCTCTACACAGTTCTCGAAGCGGACCTTGTTTCCACCGTGTATTCCTAGAGCAGAGAAACTCTCCATCACCCAAGGATCACATGTAAACTCTGCACAAGCCCTCAATCAATATACTCGCGCGCGAAACTGAGTTATTTGAATCAAAAAGAGTTACCGCCCAGAGCTCAGATGCCATGATAGGCAAAGACAAGAACTACTTCGGAGACAGAAAACCTCTCAGCAGCAATTAAGGGCTACAACGACGTCTTCTCAGGCTGATGTAGCCTCCTTAGTCTGGGTTGCTGTTAAGGAACTTAACTTAGGCTACCACAATCAGTATACATAGTTTCCCCAATATAGTAACTTAAGCTAAGGTCCTTAAATCCCCATATTCCCCCAGTATCCATTTCATTTTCCAATTATAGGGGGATAGAATTGTAACTTAAAATTAAGTTCCTCAACAGCAAGTTTCTGCTTTGAGGGTCTGAATTCCTAGAACATGGGCCTTCTTACCCACTACAAGCCTGGCAACATGTAAAAGCATGGCATAGAAGCATGTTTGACTCCATGAGCTGGGCTTGCTACTCCAAACCTTACAGGGCATTCGTAGGGAATAAGGGAATAGAGTCCCCCTTAAGTAGATAGAATATGGGGTATATGGGAATCTTATTATAATATACCCAAAGCCATATTCTATCTACTTAAGGGGCACTATATATCCGAATATATACCCTATCATAATATAGTAGTTTCCATTTTCTTTTCCATTATCCCCATATAATCCCAATGATATACCAACTTAAAGGGGACTATTTAGGGATTCTAGGGGTGATCCTCCCTTGTTCCCTACTAACCACCAGTGAGCCACAAGTGAGCAAAAAAAAACAACGAAATCCAGAGGATGAATTTACACAGGCGACCCAATCCCTTGGGACCCTGACAACCCTCCGGCTTTTGCCAAACCACAGTATTAAGGATTGTAGTATATTGGGGTTATATAGGATTATGGGCAAGAAAATGGAAACTACAATTCGGGGGCATTTGAGTAGTATTTAATTTGGGGATACTATGGTAGACCAAGCAGCCTGGATTTGCGTTCCATTGCGCGTCCCCGGGCGAGAATTTCCCCTTCCAGCGCGTGTGGCCCCAGGGGTTCTTGAGAAAAAGTAGCCTCCGCCCTTGCTCAGTACAGCAGCGAAGGACCTGGGTGGCTTAATTAGCCCGCGGTTTCCAGGTATCCAAATAGTCAAACGTGGGTAATATTCAAATTTAGGGCTCGGTTCAGACATCATTGTATACTTGGATCCCGAGGGTAGGAGATGTAGATTTCTACGACATGGGCAGGGGGGCTCTTCATGGAAAGGCCACCCCTGCTTCCACTGCTGGGACTGGGAGAAGCATCCGCAAATTGCTTCGCAACAAACTTTCAACAGCAATCAAAGGAAGCCTCCGCAAGCTGAAGGAAACACCCTTTCCAATCGTGATATCAGGTGTGGGATCTGACAAACACTACTCTTCAGCTAGCTCGTGAAATGATCTCTAGTTGCACAAGTACCCTGCTGCGTCGATCTATGAGTGCCTCTGTCGGGCCTCTGTCATGTTTTGGCAAGGATTATACAGCTGTGATGCTCTGAGTAGCCAAGGCAGCTGACGGGAGCTGAAAGAGGGCAGAATCAGGGGCAGAAGCAAACCGGCATAGGGTCATCTGACTATCCAGACACTCCTCTGAGTTAGGAAACGGCACTCGTCACATCTCGTGGAAACTATTGTCTGACGTCATGCTCCGGCCACATCAGAAGAGAATATGTCCCAAAGCAGGAGCAGTAGGCTTATGCGCAAGCTTCCAATGACAAAATTATGAGTCTCACCTGAAAATCCCCCAATAATGGAGAATCAAATGGACAAGAACATGGAAAATGAAATGGACACCAGGGTTATACGGGGGTTCTAAAATCACCACCTCTGCAGACATCCTAGGCCAGAGCGCCACAAACCCACCATTTTGGTAGCAAAGCCCCCTGAGTCTGTTCAACTGAGCAGCTGGGTATGCATGGCCAGCCACTAGGCCGGTAGAGACACTAACGCCTTTGCCCAGCATTCTTGAAGGATTTAGGGCCTGGGATATTACCCCAATGGGTACATAGCAATATAGGCTTATACAGGGTTATATAGGGATGTATAGGGATAATGGAAAGACAATGGAAACTACTAAATAACATTTGGACTCAGGAGGGATCTGTACTGCCTTGTAGCTTATGGGGGCTATATTTTGGTGGCTACCCAAGAACATGGAGATTGTAAATTATGAGGGATACATGTGTAAATGGGATTCGGAGTCGAGTTGTTGCCTTCCTTACCGAAAAGGCTGCACTAGGTTCAGCATGCAAACACCTAGCACCTCAAACTGAATTTCTTTAGCATCTAAAGGAATTATGACGGCATTCTGCAAACCCGCCCTAAACCCTAAACCCTACACTTTGAGGCTTATGTCAGCCACCTTTTGAGAACAGCACCCACATGTTCCCGCGCCTTCAACATGACCGGATCGCACGGCCAACTCGTTTGTAGTGGCATCCGCAAGCTCCGTGGTTCCTGATTTTTGGGATTTCAGAAGCTGTTTTCAGTGGGATTTAGAACACGTTTTCGGGGTCTGAGGACCCAATAAAATTGTACTTGATGTGTCTGTGGACGTGGCCGCTGTCTCACGACCGGCAGTAGGCTGGGCGGGGGGGGATCGGTGGCGTTTGGGGGGCATTTTTCGCCCACCGGAAAGGGGACGAAGGACTTTAGGCTGGTATGATCAATCGTTAGGTCTGAGCGTCCAAGTACCCAATGATTAGGTACTTGGGTCTAAGGCAAGAGTACTTGCCGTACAGGTTTTTGGTAAGTATCTGACCATTAGCTACTTGGACCCTTAGGGTTAGGTCTGAGGGTGCAAGAGTCAAGATAGAGGCGTTATTGAGGCTGATTGCCTGGCTGCCGGATAGCAGCTAAGCACCATGTTAGCCGTGCATTTGCTAAGCCACACCAATGTATGTGAATCCTTGTTATGAAGCGGGGTCGGGGAGGGTGAAGCACGTTGATGAACACATTATTGGAACTTATTCGAGACAACCACCAAAGATACGACGGACACGAATCTTCAACCGTCGTTAGGGAAAGCTTGTTTCTCATCAAGCTTCCAAGGCAAACAACGCAGTGACCCTCGCGAAAGCCCCGCTGGGCAGCATCGAACATTTCCATAAATTCGGCCTCCGAAGAAGGAGCACCTTCACCTGGGCATCTCAGGGAGACCAATAACCCCGCTCCCCCAATGAAGTATTTACACTTGGGTGGTTATGATTGAGTGGAGGTGAATACTGGGGTACTAACCCAACGTACCGCTAAAGGGATGCTATGAAGGTCTTTGGATCATCAGAAAACAAGACTTGGCTAATGTCACTTGGCGGGGGCAGTGGCCAACCAATAATCCTCTGTCAAAGAATCTTCCTTGAATCGTTCCGAGAGTTCATATGTCATAGAACGCATGCTTCTTAATCGAAGGGGGTACTGGGCTCTCCGCTGACCACTTCATATTACTGGAGGTCTCACTTGACCCCAAACACTAGCATGCTTTTTTTGGGGACCTACCTGATGGGTACCCCTAATTCTGGGGAAGCCCCCACTTAGAGTCTTGTGGTCTGGGGCGGGGCTCTGGGTGTGCGTGGGGCCGCGCTCCGCTAGACACGCAGACCACAGTACTAGTTGGTTTGGGGACTGGGATATTAAGCAGAAATGTAACGGATCAAGCCAAACGCTAAACCCTAAACCCTTCTTCATAGCAAAGCAGCAACCCTAAAACCCTTCATGGGAGCCCTCAGTTGCCCAACAAATTCCGAAGGAAGATCCTTGGTGCTGGTGCACAAAAGCTGTGAACCCCCCAACTGGCTCATCAAGCAAAATACGGCTCTACACCCTCAGGGGTCAAATACTTATACCAACTTTGGGCCCGGTATATTTTCATATTACTCATTGGGGCCTCTATATATAAATATGTGTGTGTATGCCCCAAATATCTATATATATATATGTATATATATATATGTAGACCTATATATACACACACTCAACAGTTTTCTTAAGCAGCCCTACGTACCATCCCCAAATACTAGCATAAAAGCCACACATCTTTTTTTTCTACCCAGGTCCTTGGACACTAGCTTGCAGAACCCAAGTCACAGTCAGGCCTGAGTGGGAACGTCTCAGGAATCCACCCGGTGATGTGGAAGGCATCCGTGCACGGATTTGAGCCTCCCGAACTTACAAAATCCGCCCTGAATGTTCCTTCAGTTTCAAAGTGTTACCCTGAACCCTAGACCCTAAAGCCAATGAACCAACCAAGGAACAGCTCCCTCTATGCAAGGATATGCAACCCCAAGAAGTATGATCCTCAGGATGAGTTCACCTTGAGGGCAATTCTAGGCTTTCTCGCAAAAGAAGGCGCTTTAGGACACGCAGGATGTCATTTTGATAAACTGTAACTTCTGGGGGTGCCTAAAAAGGAACCAGGTTTCTGGGAAACTGAACCCCGACCTCCCTGAAAGAACACATTAGTTTCCATGGCCTTTTCCATTGTCCTATATAGCCCCTTATAACCCCCTATATGCCCCTTGAACGGGACCCCTAAACCCTAAGCCCTAAATCCTAAACCCTAGACCCTAAACCCTAAACCCTAGACCCTAGACCCTAACCCCCCAGTTGGCCTCTCATGGCATAGGAGCCACCCATTATCATGGCAATCGCCTTCTCAATGAGCACAACCCAAAGCTCCTCGTACTGATCTCTGTAGAATTTGGGGGTTTCCCAAAATTAGTGGTACCCGTTTTGGGGGGTCCCTATAATAAGGACTATAGTGTTAGGGGGTCTATGTTGGGGTTCCCCCTATTTAGGGCAAGTACCATTTGAACCCTAAGGGATTTAGGTTGGGTCCTGCCACCACCCAGTAACAGACGTGGATAGGGGTGATATTAAGGGCTATATATAACCATAATATGACTATTATCCAACGGTTGCTGCGCGGAGGCAGGACCCAGGATTTAGGGAGTAACCCGTCCTAAGTGCTAAGTTGAGGTTTATATGAGGCTTCGCACTTGTATAATTTACCGTCTAGGGCGTCGGGTAGTCTGCTAGAAAAAACATCGCTATGAGCCTTCATAGCCCAGCGGATTGAGAATCCCCACTGGGTTGCTACTGGCATTGTAAAACCACTGATTAGGGTTTGGGGGCCTCTTTAAAGGGTGACATAGGCTACGTAGGGGTCATACAGGGAAAATGGAAAAGAACACGAAAACTGGTCTATCAGTTCAGGAAGTTCATTGTTCAGCTCATCCCAGAACTTCAGTGAGCTGCCAAGGCAAAAAGGGTTTGCTATGAACAGAACTCGATCATCGTTTGGCAACTAGGTTATCATCGCCCCAGAGGGTCAATTACCAGATACCTCAAGCACCCTCCCAGCTGCAACAGTAGGAAATCTTTCGAAACACTAACAAGCCTGTGGTACTAGTATCAGAGAAGTAGTAATACAATGGCCCGGTCCTGAGGAATTGCAGAGTGAGCACACAGTAGCCTCCCGTTCGTGGCAACCGGAACAATGTCATCAACCACCACGCGCCTCGCAATGCTAAACAACAAAGCAGCATCCGCGGAGACCAGCAATCCCCAGAAAAAGTTTGGGTAACATGTTCTGCAAGTATCTAACTCTCTGGCTCTCTTCATTACAAAATGTTTCTGTTGGCCACTGTGTAGCCTCGCCATGCCATTGACAAAAAGGCGGCATGCGTAATGCTGAGCTTCAGTGCCAGGCCCGTGTGAAATGATAGCAGGCTGCAAGATGCTTCGGAGGACAGGCTCTCCGAAATGTCGCTCGTAGTCCGCAAGCACGGACAACACCTCTGTTGTTCCGAAATCTTGAGAAAATCTCTCGTGGGGTGCACTGCTACATCATAGCAAGCCTGAAGCCCTGGCTATACGAAAGCTTTGAAGTTTGCAGCCCAGAAACCGACATCAGGGAACAGTCGGTCACTCGACCCTGCCGGATCTTGCTGGAGTCTGGAACTCCTTCAAAAAGCTTCGGTTGCACACCACGGTGGCCCTGGCGTCTTAGCCAGTCACCCATGCAACAGAACTGACCCAAGGCAGCCTTCTGCATACGGCTCAGGCTTACTGGGCTGCCCTGTGCCGACGTCTCAGTCTCTTTCAGTGACTCCCAATACTCTTGCTGCTTCTCCCAGGGCGCCAAGTGGAAACCGTGCACGGAGGACCCCTCTTGTAGTACAGTTTCTGGCAAGACCACTTCGCACCTGCGCGAGTCAAGAAATGTCATCGAGGGTTTGAAGCGAATATCAATACTCTCCATGGAAGTCTGCATGGACCATGTAAACTAGGGAAATTCAAAAATGTCCGTCTACACTTCGTCCGTACCATGCGAGTTGCTCTTTGTTAGTTACTATTCTCACTGACACTCACTTCTCGCGCAAAGGGTCCATCTAGGTATATGGTATACACTTAGGGCCCAAAGGGGTTCCCATATACCTACCTCAAGGCCCAAGTATATACCATATAGCTACATGCACCCTTTGGGTCATGATCCCGCCCTCTTGCAAAGCGAAGCTCGCAGCGCCTGTAGTTACTCCTCGCAGCTGATGGGGCCAAGGGTGGATCCTCCAAATCCTGGGCTACTGTTAGGGAGGTTTAGGCTTTAGGGTTCAGGGTCAACTTACTGGATTCAGAAGCTTGAATTCCGGGTTTGGGTTTAGACCTTCTGTTGTACCAGCATGGGGAAAAACCTGGAAAATAACCTCGAACCTTGATGGTAAAATAGAAAAGCCAAGGCTATGTAGCGTATAACGGAACGTCCCCTAACTTACCATATTCAGGAAGCCATATGCTCTACTATATACCCATACCATGGCCCTAAACCCTAAACCAGCCACCCAGAATCTATTTCGGACTCGTCGGACTGACCAACCTTGGTGGCACGTGAGAGCTTCTGAACATGGTGGCAAATGGGGGCGTTGATGAAGTTGAGGCATTGCCATGTGGCAGGGAGTCATGTACATGCTTACCGGTGGGTGTTTGCCCGGTTTTTTGTTGGGAAAATATTCCATCAGGAATTAGGTTCCCTAAGGCCTACATCCTAAACCCTCATTACAACATCATCTTGTTATAGGCATCCGACTATAAGGGGCGCTTAAGCTGGGCCTCCGGCCACCTATCGTATCCACATCCGACCCTCCCCAATGCCCCACTCAAAACGCGCCCACACTTGCAGCAGCGCTGATACCAACTACCTAAAACCCCTCAACTCCCGTTTATTTAGGCAACAGGAGCTATGTAGGGGTTACATAGAGGTGATAGAGGGTTTAGGGATTGGGGTTTAGGGTTTAGGGTTTAGGGTTTAAGGATTAGGGTTTAGGGTTAGTCCCTATCATGAAGAAAGACTATACTCTTGAGGGGTCTATATTGGGGCCCCAAAGCGGCACAAGCACCACTATCAGAGGCCTTGTAGCCCCGATTAAGGGTACTAGGTGGGTCGTAGTAAATGCAATCATGACCCTAGCTTGCTGTTTCTTAGTAGGGAATAAAGAAAATCCCTACACAATACCCACCAAAAACCAGTAAGCTGAACCCTCAAGCCTCTTGACCAGCTGTTTACTTGTGTGGAAGCCAGGGCCAGATAAGATGAGGTCTTTATTGATGCGGCGCTTCGGAGAGCTTCCGAGGAATACATACTCCTGTATCTTTAGGATTAATCTGTCAGGGTGCATAGATAGCGTGTAGGGTGTAGTGAAAGGCGCTTCTCAACATAAAGGCAGCGCGACGAGGGAATCCGGTGGTATGCTTGCAAACGCTTGAGGATGTGGGAAGTTTTCGGCTAGGTATCCAGAGACAGGGTTGACTCAACCCCGTCTCCATGAAGCCCGCTTGTGATCTAACGCAAAGGCACCTTCGTTAATCGTCTTCCTAATACATCTATAGGAAATCACCTGAGACTCGAAGTGTGTATGTGAGTCTGGAGCATTGCCTCAACCTCTCGTCCCTTACAATCGAGCCTTGACCATAAACCCTTTTGTGGTGGTGGTGCCAACAGAGATCATGAGATTGACTCCACAAATTGTCCTCTCGAGCATGATGAGGGCGTCATGAAGTGGGCTTCCACCTGACCTAATATGTTAAATTACACCACCACAGCACTCCATGGCAACGTCTGCTCATCTTTGCTCAGTACTTCATTTCAATTAAGGACTATTTCTGCTTCAACCAGCTAACTTCTGGTAAGCTGTACCGCCGCAATTCACAAACGTCAGGCCGCTGTCAACAAGAGTTTCCCTGGGGCCCCTATATAATCCTGTCTCCATGTCATTTTCTATTTTCTTTTCCATTTGATTCTCCATTTTTGGGATCCATGGAGTCCCAGAGTTATAACTAGCTCTGGGATCCCGGCGCGCGTCGGACGCGGACCATCCTCTTCTCCCTCTTTGGCCACGGAGGAGTACTTGGGGTAGCAGCAGCCGCAGAAGGTCTTCAGGACAACTCGCATTGCACAGGCAACGGCTGTAAGTATGGGTCCTATGGAGCCACCTGGCCAAACACAAAGGGCTGGATGCATGTATGAAATGGCGGCCTGCTTGGCTGGTTTTGAGAAGGAAGTTGTGCATGCGAGCTTCTTCAGAACATGCTTGTGCTTGCGAAGGCTGGATGAGACGTGATGTGTCGTAAATGTTTGTAGAGTTTGAAGGCTCAAGCCTACGAGAATTCGCGCACGATGGTCAGCAAAGCTTTCCAAAAATAGCCCAGGAACCAAGATGACCTAGACCTGCCCCTGCCTTCAAGCGCTCATCATGTCGACCCAGTTGCTGTAGAGGAGCTTTGAAACCAGGAACTGAAGTAGTTGTGATTCCCAGATATATTGCTCTCCTTCTGCCCATGAAGCAGAACTTAGACATTCGCAAGGATCTTGATGCTATGTTTTGTTAAGGTCACCCGACCCAACTCTCTGGCTCCCAGCCTTCAGACCTTTCCGCAGGAACTTGTCCCCGAACAATCCATGCGCCATGCAGCCTATTTGTATGCAAGACCTACGAACTTGACTAAATTGCGGCCGAACCGCATCGAATCCCCAGCTAAAGGCGATACCTGCAAGCCCAATCCAAGTTAAGTTCTGGAAACGTCACCCTCTGGCATCATGAACCCTCAAAGAATCCTAACCCTAATCCCAAAATCCCAATGGCCCAATGGTGACCCTGCACCCTGTAATAGTGACTATAAGGGATAGTAGCGATTGGATGAGGGTCCTGTTATACTCCTACTATACCCCTATTACAGAGAGGGGCGTCCTCCAAATATGAACCTCACGAACAAGCATGACAAAATCATTCAACAAATGCACCACAGAGTCCTCAACCACTGAAACCCTAAGGCCATACTCGCTCCAACTTTAAACCCTTGTCTGTGCCTATCAGTGTGTGCATACATACACATAAAAATCTATCACATATTAGTACGCATCTATATATATATGAATATATGGAGAGAGAGAGAGAGAGATTAGTTGACTCTTTCACTTTCTGCACCTTCTCGACAGTTTCCTTGGCATTTCGAGCGATCCTTCGCTGCCAAAGCGACAGCACGGCCACAGTGGCCTAAGAAGTGCTCCAACGATCCACACGCGGCGTGTTGCATGGTCGAAGCTTGTGGTCCCACGGTTGTAACCCCAAAAGAACCCTATGATAAAAAGGCTACGCGAGAAAACAATTTGGAGACGGACTTGTCTAGGCCCTGAGGTCCTGTTCTTGCATCATCCCCAAACCTATGCTATACCCATAAATCCTGATCTGGGAAGCGTACCGAAGGTGGGCTGTTGTTGTTTGAGAAGTATGTCCTCATGGTGTAATGGCCGCACTCATGCATCAGGTTGCCCATGTGAAGGGTACAATGTACAATGTACTTCTAGACCTGAACTCAAATTTTGTCGACTCCAAAAATGAGACCGTCTTGCAACCCCAAAACTGAGGCCGCGAAATGGACCCAGCTTTCTTGAACATAATTTGGAATTGAATTGGAAGGCTGAAACGACGAAACTGGAGCCGTTTGGCAACCCCAATTTTGTGGCCGCGAACTCTTCAACATGAGAGAAACGGACACAGGGAACCCACTGAAGCAAGGCCAGAATTGCTTTGATTGTTCGATCCCATATTTGGAGTCCCGGCCACTGTTACAAACATGTGTACTCAACACCGATGGCTGCTTTCCCAAACCGGAAGAAAAGAGTTGCTGCTGTTATTGAAGTTGAGTATGCGAACTTTTTCCCTGCCAACGTTTCCGTAAGTATCTGCCATGTCATGCAGCGGTCATCTTCGACTACTCAACTTTCATAAACCCTATACTACGTCCACATTACCCTAGGAAGAAAAAGAACGATCCTTTTACATAAAAATCAGGAATCTCACACCCCAAACTGTATAAAGGATCCAGTACAGGGGCACTGTGGATACTTAGACCCTGCCCGAGCTTGCCAATGAGGATTCGGTCAAGCTTGAGTTGAGTAGCGTTTCTTTTAATGGTTGAACCCAGTAAGATAATTTTCCTATATAAAACACTATACCCCCACAGGAGGATATACTCTTACTCTATATTGGGTACCATAGTATCCTCAAATAAAATGCTACTCAATTGCTGTCATCAACGCCTTGTAAGCTGGCAAAGCTCAGCAGCCGAGGCTGAGCTTAAAGAATCGCCATATTCATGCAGTAGAGCAACGAATCTATGAGCAACCAGGACAGGAAGCCAACTTACCATCTCCTCACACCATGGCTCACCCTGCTTGCTTAGTCGCGAAATGCCAAGCTGCATTCAGGCATTGAGTACCATTTTCTGTGCATCTGTCAAGTCAGCGCGCTGCCACCAACAGAGAATGCGTTTTGTGTGATTTGCATTGTAGACACTTCCGTAGCACACGTCCTATGTGCACGAAGTGTTTCTACCCAAGCGCCTGTAGCACGATGCGTGTAAATATTTGAGTCTCCGTTGCTACCTACCTCGCTCTGTCTCTCTCCCTCTCTGTTTTCAGCACTGGGAGTCCAGCCCCGGCAAAACAGCAAAGGCGGCCAAACATGACGGCGGCGTCCACAGCACATTGGCAGTAGTCAAGGCTGCTTCGTGCTGAGGCTGGGGCAGGAGCGCAGGTAGTGCATGCAGAGATGTACATGTCCAATATAGATTCTATCATGGGCACCTCTTGCATGGTTAATGCTTTGTTGCGCCCTGCTGGCGCTGCTTAGCGACTTAGCGGTTGGGCGGTATGCTAGCCACCTCTTTCTTTGCTGTCCTGTTTGAAGCATCAGCTGCATGACCTTGCATGAAACTGAATATGTAAGCCAATTAGCTATGGAGTCTGGGCATATCTGTCAGTGCATCCAGCGCTGGCTTGTACTTGCCCAGAGAAGTGCTGCCATCAACAAAGACTGACTTTTCAGATTCTCGTAAGCGAAGCAGGCACGAGAACAGACGTAGTCAACAGGAAAAATGATGGGAATGAATAACAAAGGAAAGAATCCCGGAAGACGCGCCAGCAAATCAGGGAGCACCACTCAGATGAGCTTCATGTGCAGACGACCGCTTCCCCTTCACACGAATTAGGGTTCCGCATCGCAAAACGCATTGGCAAGCTGTTTTCTGGGAAGCACAGGCAAAGGTAGGAATAGCACCCCCCCCAAACCCGAACCCTAGACCCTGAACCCTTAACCCTGAACCTTAACCACGTGGTGCTTGATGTCACGGGCTTGTCGGGATCCCCGGTGAGTTGCCTTCCACACCCCCTTTCTAACTGCCAAATAAGGTGCGCCTCGAAAAAAGGACCCCACCCAAATCCCAAAGTGCCCATCGCTGTGACAAAAGCTCATACACATCACATTCAATGCCATTTGAGCCTCTTGAGGCCCGAGCACGGCCTTTTTCAAGCAATCATGCCTTGATCCTGCACACTGAGCCGTCTTTGGCGCTCTTGTACCTGAACTATTTCGGTGCTTCATGTCTAGGGTAAGGGATTTGGAATGCGTGGTTTGAGGGTTTGGAGGGGTTTGTGTTCCTGGTTTAGCTGGTTTACCCTGACTGCAAAGGCCTTGAACAATCCGGGTTTTCAAAGCCTTCTTGACAATTTGAGAAAGCGCAAGGATTCCAAAGTAAGATGTAGCCACAGGCAGGCATGCCTCAACATCAGAGGCCTGCCCCCAGACAAAACTTTTGTCAACAGCTTAGGAAGCCACAAAACTGATCTACCCCCAACAGGAAAATCCGATTTTAGCGACCGCAAAATAACTTACTCCTGAATATGTAGTACTTAGTGGATACCCCACATCACAACCGCCTTCCGGCCAGGCACATGGCTTCAATCGTCTGAACCACCAGTAGGCCATTTGTTGCATCCTGTCTAGGAACTATCAGTGGAGGCGTTACAATTAAGGCTCTGGAAATGAAAGTTTTGGACATGTTGAGGGACTGGGGTCCATGGTTCAGGTTGGAAAGGTCTAGAAGGTCATGCTGGATGGAGGGGATTTTGTACCACTTACCACAAGCAACGCTGCAGCCCTGACCCCTACCTTGTGCATGATTTGGGGTACTTGTCGGTGAGGAGTTGGCAGAGCCAAAACGAATCCAACTCTAAACTCTGAACCTTTCTTTCTCTCTCTGGCGGTATGAGTCTCCAGCTTTGTCTCCTAGTCCATCTCTGCTTGGGTGCGAAAAATCGACAGGCATCCTTTTAAAGGAACCGTGCTGACAACATGACATGCGGGTGTGGACTCAACCAAAGTTCGTGAAGACAGGTTGTGAGGTAGAGTGTCCATCATCCCGGGAGATTCTGTTGACCATTCCTTCAATTACAGGCTTGCCAAAGGACAGAAAGAGAAAAGAGAGAGAGAGAGAGGGCGAGCCAAGGTAGAACTCATGAGATGCTGTGAGTAATAAGAGGACTTTTGAAACCCCAACCCCCAAAATTAGGACCCTATAACCATCATATGATACGTAGTCATAGGGTCCTAACTTTGGGGGTTGGGGCTACCCAAATCCTTTTGATAGTGAGTAGAAAAACTCCTGAAGTCGCCTAAGCTGCATGACTGGGTTGCTGCTAAGGAACTTAGATCGGGAAGCCCGATTATTTACCATATACCCACACTATAGTCGGTTAGTTTATGTTCCTTCACAGCAACCCAGTATATAAAGTAGTTTCCAGTGTATTTTCCATCATCCCTGCATAATCCCTATATACTATAGTAGTTTCCATTTTCTTTTCCATTACCCCCGTATAACCCCTAACCCATAACCAAAGCTCGCCCTAATTTGAGAAGCTCTGCTGTCTCAGGCAGCCAGGTAGTCAGTTCTGAAAAGGACAGAGAAGCCTTTCAAGTGAGCAGTACATGCAAAGCCCCTGAACCCTAAACCCTGTAGGGTCCCAAGCTGAAGCTGTGCACCCTCAAGAGATTCTGGTTTGCGTTGGGTTCAGGGTCAAGCGTTGTGACCTTTAAAATTCATGCCCGAACCCCACTCACTCTGTGCACCCCAATGCCTGGAGCCCAAAATCGAAACCCAAAGCCCTGCTTTTCTACCCGGTTACTTGTAGGGAATCAGGGGAATGGACCCCTCTGATAGTCCCTATCATGTTTTGAACCCCTTTCATCCATTCTCAATTCCCCACTAAGCTTAACGTAGTTTTTTGCATGCACTCTTTCCCTAAGCCAGGTCTCCAACAAGTGCAGATACGGGGCCCCACCATGCAGCACCCAAACAAAATCCACCCCATATTCCAGAGCCCTACCTGCAAAGCCTGTAGACCAGAAGTACGGTCTCCTTCCCTACTTTCCTACCACTTAGGGGGTTAAAGTAGCAAATTCGTTTGTGGAACTATGGGGCTATGGGCCCTATAGGCCTTCAAGTAGACCTTACAAACCAAAAGCCAGTCGGAATATGCCGAGGTGCGGCCATATTCTCCACCTTTTGGCCGCTGCACGCGGTCAAAAAACTCTGCAAGGACTCGGGTCCAGGGCCCCCCTTCCTTGGTTTGGCGTCTTGGTTGCATTTAGGCTTCTTCAAGGCTTTTGGATGGTTGGTAGGAATCGAAGAACAGATTACCAATTGCGTTTTGCACATTGCAACTTCTCGGGGGCAGGCAGGGATGGAAGAGGCCTGGGTCGCAGTTCAGGGTTTAGGGTGGCCTGCTGCCAAGCTGCGAGGTGTTCTCAAAGAAGAAGCCGTCCTACAGGGTTCGGATTTTAGAGGGTACTCTCATTTTGCAATAGCAGCACCGTGCTTTCTAGCCTATAGGTAGAACTTAGAAACACAACAGATTTCCAACCCGCCCTTGGTGCCACGATCTTGCAGCTTACATACCCTAGACCCAGTTCAGCCATGTACGTGAACAAAGGCCAGGACACAAACCTTGCAGGCAGCCAGTTCGTGCCACAAAAAAAGAGAAGTCTAACAAGAAACTCAAACTTCCTATGTTAGATCATTGGTGCTCATCAGAGAACTTCCTAGACACAGGCTGGCTGTGCTATTATTTGTAAAATGCACGCTGCCAATGACAGTCACGGGGGTCATCAAACTGCTGATCAGCTACCTGGCTTCAACTGCCCCCTAATCCGCCTGTAGGACGAAGAGGCCAGATGACGATGAGGCTGAAAAATCTACTAAGCTAACTAGGTGCTCAGAAACAGTTCAGGACTAGAGATCAAGGTGATTATTAATCTTGTATGGGATTTGTGAAAACCCTGCATGACTTTGAAGGTCAAGGGAGAAAGTGTGCTGAATGGACTGCGACGTCAGCTCCTCACTTCCCGCGCTCTGAACCCTGAGTACAGCCTGGCCATTCGAGGCTTTTGTTTGGAACAGGAGCAGGGTGCGTTGAGAGCAGCAAGGATACAAAGGAATGATGAGGGTCGCTTCGGCTCCAGAATTTCGCAGAGGCAGCTACAGGGGAGAGCCTGCTTCAGAGTGCATAGACGCCCTTCAAGCAATCAAGGATTCCATCTTACCTTCCTTCGTGCTTTGTGGCACCACATACTACAATTGAGCAAGGAGTTTTCTGAGCATGATTGTATCACTGACTACTCCAAGTTCGATCTCGATCTTTGGCCTTGGGCCCCGTTGTATTGTAGAAGTCCCATGAAGCCCACCAAGCACATCGGCTGTTGCTGAGTCAGCTACACGGAACACCCAAACCCGTAGACTGCGGTCCTCACTCTCAGTCGACCCATCGTGGAGTAGGACTTCAAGCTTACCTGAAGCAGGGTCGGCGTCGTCCCCGCTGTACAGGAGACAACCCAGGGAGCCGAAAATCCTGAGATCTCTCGGAGTCCAGGTTCAGTGGGTCCGGGGGTAGGTCTTGGGATTTTAGGATCTAAGGCGGGTGCGGTGATTGCAGCATCTTTGCACAAGTAGATTCAATCCGATCTTGAGAAAATGGAAGAAGCCATGTCAATCCGGCCAACGGTCGTCTCCATTGTCGGCAATGCATATGGAACTTCTACAAACAAAGAAATGGACGGCTGATTACATCGAGTTGCCTTGGGCTTCGACTTCTGAGGCAGTTCTCAACAAACAAGAAAACGTAGTGCACAGTTGGTTGTCGCATGCTGTGCCTTTACAAAGACAAAAAGGAGTGAATTAGATAAGGATGCGTACGTTGCACTACACCCTGAACTCTTGAACCGTTGCCTGGCTTCTTGAAAGCAGAGCAACCTTATAAGCAAAGGGCTGGAAGCCGGCTTGGAGGTGGATATTGACTGAAGGTCCAGCTAATCGATGCTCAGGATAGGTTCGGAGAGAGTAGCCAATCTTCCGATGCCTATCATAATCCTATCATACTATAGTAATTGGTTTCCCTTTTCCTTTGTTTTATCCCTATAAACAACCCCAATAGACTATAGTAGTTACCATTCTATTTTCCATTCTCCGTTAGCACAGATGCCTAGACGACCCTAAGCCGTGTTGGGCACAGGGCTGAGATCAACGAAGCCTTCTGGAGGCGAGGGGCTTGTTCTCAATCAGCTTTCCTGACAAAGAGGAATCGCAGGTTGATCAAGTAGGGCTATAGTCCCCTTAAGTAGATAAGATATGGGGTATATGGGGATCTTATTTCAATATACCCAAAGCCGTATTATATCTACCCAAGAAAACTATACCCTCGCAAGATGCTAGGCAAAACTGAAATTGCAGTGGATTTCATTGAGCACTTTGAGGATTCTACAATGACAAGGGAATCACTCAAGCAACTTTCCAAAATTCCAAATGCAATGCTACAAGCAAGTGCAGGTAGGCCATGCAGAGTTCTGAACTTGCCATGGGACTCATAAGCTTTTGTTTTGCTGCGTTGAGGGGGTTATAGTAAGGGGATCCTAAGTATGTGCTGTACGACTGCATGGACCTTTGGGGAGTGGTCTCTTGCTACCCAGCTAACCTGAGGAGCCAGTCTCCTTCCTTGAGACACCCTTAAACTCAAGCCCAAAAGCATGTTCCCTGAATGCCAAAGGGCCAAAGAGGTTACCATACAATTAGCCACTTGGGGGCCAAGTGCATACTATACAGCTTCTCCATACCCATGGACCGTTTATGGCCCCCTCAGCCACCGAAGCCACTCCAAATGAGCCTGGTTTTGATCGAGGCATAATTAGGACTGGAGACGCGTCTAATGGAACTACACTCAGACTGCGCAGCTTCCTCGATACCAGCCCCTAAGCAGCTGCTACCGCTGATCCCTGTGCCGATCCCACGTTGGGCAGCTGTTGTCCATAGAACACTGTCCCAACATCCCTATTCATGGCATGTATTTGCACCTGTCAATAGCGATGGCGAAGTTCATCAACAACCCTCAGCCCAAAACCATGAAATCCCGGGGCAAATCTCCATAATCCATAGCAAAATTCATTGGTGCCGTTCAAGAGCGCCTGAAAGACTAAAACCCTAAAATTCACGAAGCGCAACACTGCTACGCCTTTTTTGGATGCTGATCCAACAGCATTACGGCCAGGTAGGCCAGCTAGACCCTGACAGCAGATCCTCAGAGGATTCGGGTTAGGGGTTTACGTAGGTTAGAGTCTAGGGTTCAGAAGCGATAGCGTTTGTTGACTTAGGTTTTGGGCTTTAAAGGCTCATTGGGTTCTGACTCTGAAGGTCTCGGGCTTGGGGCTGAGGATCCGAGTCCATGGGTATTTTACACTCTATTCTACCTACTTGGGGGGTTCAGGCAGCAGTTACGCAAGGGTGGAACTGAGGGAAGACCAAGGCGCCTCAAAGTGGGAGCCTCAAACGTACTAAATCTAAAGTACTTAATAATTAGGTACTTGGAATTTTTGCGTTACTAATTGTAGTTCCAGTGTTTGGTGGAGTCTATGATTATTGGGTGCTTGAACCCATGCAGCTAGGCATTTACCAAAGATGTCAAACTTCTTGATGGGGTGTACCAGAGTTCGGACTTGTTGCGAGAAAGGACTTGCAGACTACCTGGACCACCAAGGTATACGTATGTAGGATAATGGTCTTTTGGACAATGTTTGAGGGTCGTGGGCCATTATTTTACCTACTTTTGAGGCCCAGGCAGGGCCTGAAGGCCTTGGCATCTTTGGATTTGGTCAAGGTCAGGGAAATTTCTACGCTGTTCTGGGAGGTGCTCGCGAATTGAGTATATGTCAAGCGTCCAATAGGAGCACCCTCGCGCTATACTATCCGAAGACGCACTAACTGATGGCTCCAAATCCCTAAACGAGTCAAAGAAGCCATTATTCTAGGATTTTCTAGGTACGTCTGCGGTTCAGGTTAAGTTCACAACCGAACATCCTGAGCCCAAAGCACCGCAACACTACACCTACAAGCTAAGTTTCGGGTTTATAGAAGACTTAGGGACTTTTGGAGGGGCTGGTATCATCTAGGAATTTCATTTTTTGGTTTCTGTGCCAGATCTGAATGACAAATGGGCATCAGTCAAGAATAGAAACAACGCTGAACTCCATTGACGCAAGTTTCAACTTTCCATCCTAGCTTCATCCTCAACGCGAAGTAGGGTCTCAACAAAATCCCCTCGAGGCAATCCTTCATCACCGTAAACATCTTCAAACTAAGGTGGTGTAAACGCTGATGTGAGACTACCCATCGTACAGCTTTATACTCGCGTGCAACTAGAGACCATGCTGTGAAAGAAAGCCCTGAACCCTACTTCGAAATGTGTGAACACTAATTTTGGCACCACTCCAATTGGCAAGGGATCGTGGCACCATTCGTGCACTGAATGAGCGCCGACGTGAAAATATCAGCGCCAGTGACCTTGCAGCACTTCATCTTGCAGAAGACACTCTCGGGGACAAGCCCGGTCACCATGTACACCTTGGCTGTAAGCAGCATGCCTTCAAAGGCTCACTGCAGGTGCACTTCCTGCGTCCCACCTCTGATCTAGACCCGATCTTTACAACAAGAATACAGAGAATTTGTTATCGTACGGGATAGGGAAAGGGGCGGGGTAGAACCCTTGCCTAAATCTTGAAAAGCCTTTGTACTCCCTTAGCCCTAACCTGTGTGCCCCAAACCCTCCTCCTGTTTGCTGGGAACTGAGACTGCTCTCGCCTTTCTTTGCGCTGAATTCGGATCAAGGTACTTCTCCCCAGAAACTATCACTTTCAACGCAGCATCCCGACTATCTACCTGGGGGCTCCCCAGAATTAGGGATACCGGTTTGGGGGTCCCTATGAAAAAGATTATAATATTGTTGGGTCTACATTGGCTTTCCCCCTACTTAAACTACTACCTGACATTTAAGCCAACACCCAAGACCCTTCACGGACCTTTTAAATCAATTCTAAGGTAGCTAAGGGGCCCAGGCGAGGGTATGGCAGCTCTGCCCCCAAGCAAACCTTTTAGGGTGTTGGGTGTAGGGTCTCGGGTGTAGGAAGGTCTAGGCAGTCTAGGGGACTCTGCCTTCGACTTACACGTGTTGGCTATCAAGAAAAAGAAATTCAATCTACTTTTTAGGGTTCAGGCTTTAAGCTTTAGGGCTGTTAATATGGAAGAAAGGCATTCTAAAGCCCCTATAAAACCCCGGAGTTTCAATCTGCTTTTCCACTTCTTCCCCATGAAAACCAGCTATTCAAAAGCATGGGCTCCGAAAGTCTTGGGACATAAAGAAGCTACGAAGGGTTTAGGGTTTAGGGGATGATGCAGGCCTTGCGAACGCACCACGTTTAACCCTCTCAGGCCTCTACAAACCGACAAAGAGACTTGGGCCCATACTCTGTAATGTAACCCCTATATGCCTATATGACCCCGATATAATCCTTCGTTTATTGTATTAGTTTCCGTTTTCTTTCCATTATCTCTATATAACCCCTATATCCCTACATAACCATACCAGCCTCCGCATTCCCAACGTAGATTTGGGCCAAAAGCTTGCATGCAGGATTTGCGGCTATAATGTAGACCCACTGATCAATAAACCCACTCCTTGTATGGGCCTTAGTATAAGGATCCCTATTAGAATCCATATTAAGGGGAGGGTGTTCATTAATCAGGGGTCGTGGTTATGGGGGTTCAACAGGGTGGGGGGGTGAGGGTCCTTTCCTGGGAGTTCTAGTAACATGGATGGTACTGTAAAATCTGGCATCTATATTGGGCCCTGTTTATGGAGCACCACCCATTAGTCCAAGTCTTGGGGGCTTGGGTCTGCTATTTGTTGAAAGATATGTTACCTGTTTGGTGCTGTTTTCGATGAACACGACCTCTGGTAGCTAGGGCATAGGTTTCCTTGTGTGTGCCGCTGCAACCATAGCTCGGTGGCACATAGGTACATGCTGGAGATATTTGCCCTCTTACGAGTCTGCTAGAACGTTAATGCCCTGCCTCCAGTAATCATTTGCGCGGAAATAGAATGCAGGGACTCTGAAATTGGCTCCCAAAGCTACGTACCATCTGCTCCACCAACAGCAGCCAGCGGGCTTTCGAACCAAAATGCTATAAAAGTGAAAGTAAGGTAATTAGGTGGGTTTAGGGTTAGGGGCTAAACCCTGAACCGCAAACCAAAATGCACCGCCCACGAATTGTCATACTAAAGGTGTTAATTATTGCACGGTAGAGTTGTGAATTATGCCACACACCGAAGGCATGACAAACCCGAGCAAGCAATAACTACAAAACACCGACAATAGGTTAGGTGAATGTCCCACGCAGCAATGGCGACTATCAGAGTAATGGTACTTGTAGTGGGGTCCTCGCATATTCCTATTATTCCGCTATCACACCCTAGACCCTACACTGTAAACCCTGTGGGTCCACCTAGTACCCCAAATATATAACTCCTATATACCCACATACACCTCGAATACATAACCCCCATATACCCCCTGTATACCCATGATTGGCAAGCTGCTGGTTGCGGCCGGGTAGCCCATTGCCAGTCATTGTGCCAGATGCGCTTACCCAAAGTAGGTTCTTCGGATCTTCAAAGAACCTAAGACAAACACAATTTCTGGGTACATGGCAATATCCGTTGGTTTCAGCTGTAAACCTTGAACCTTAAGATTTGCAACTTGCGCTGGTGAGAGAACTTTCAGATGCGAATGGTGTCTTCAACAATGACCAAGGAACTCCCGCTCCCGGATCATGTAGCCTGAACTCAAGGTCTAGGGTTTAGAGTTCTCCTTAGCTGGAATTACAGTGTACTGCGGTATCGAGTGCTATGGTAGAATGCACTATACTAAAAAATGCTGCGGGGAAAGTATTTACCATAGACGTAGCATACAATACAATGTTTGTTTCACTGAGTATCCTACACTATGGCATATTAAAAAAGCCAAAAGCACGCGAACATCGACAGCTTGATTATCCTAGTGTAAGGGTTGAAGGGTTGAAGGTGGACCCAGACCTTTTGGCGTAGGGTTTAGGGCCTAAGGTTCACGGCCTAGGCCCTGCATGCACGAATCTAACCCTAGCCATCCACATCCCAAATCCAGAGCCTAACCCTCAAAACCTGAAACCCGACGCCACAATCCTAACGTCCTCGGCTGCTGGTAATCCCTTGACTGCGACAATCTGTTGCCTGATTCCTGCGGCATACCGGCAGGCTTTTGGATTTCACTTCAGACAACAACAACGACACGACCAAACAGAACAATAACCTGCCAGGAAAAATAAATTACACAAGGCCCAATTCATGACGTCCAAAACCCCACATGAGACATCTCCAACTCTGTTGCATGTGTTCATTTGTGGCCTAGCATTTGCGTTGGTAGGTCTACTATTTTTGTGTAAGTGTGCCAAAGCACAGTGCCAACAACGAGCACTGTAGCCATACAAAACCACAGGTTGTAAAACAATTCTCTCTTGCATAATGCCTCACAAACCTTAAACCCTTTATGCCCTAGCTTCTTTCAACCATCTTGGGAATGCTGCTGTCCCGTAATTGAACCTCTGGTTAGCAGGAAATGCAGGAATGGAAAAAAGAACACGGAAACTACTACATTATTGGGGATTATACAGCTAGGCAACTCAAGAGTAGTGAGGCCTATAACCCAAATCTCCAACGAGACTCCAGTACCCTTGCTGGTCATTGCCTGGGTGCAACTCACGTGCTCGATTTTCCCGAGACGCCCGCGAACGAGATCCCGTGCGCGCCGTGCATGACGAGTGAAATTGGCAGAGTGATTCCTGGAGTTCTGGTTGTGGGCTCATGACTTGCTGTTGTTATTGTTGTTTTGCTGCTTGGTATACAATGCACACGGATAGAAAGAGAGAGCGAGAGAGAGAGGGAGAGAGAGAGATGTATATCTACACATATATCATATCTAGACATCTTTCTTCATTTCCTATTACTTCGGCCTAACATGTGGGGCTGTGATCTTACGAGAGCTCTGAAGACAGTCTCGCGCAGCCATTGTGTGGCTGAGGGCGCATAATGGCATGTTTACACCGGCTGCTGAGAATGAGAAGGTAGTCTTTCCTTCGGCGATTTCGTATTTGATACCCCTTTTGCGTGTCCGTGTTGTTAGTAAAACTATAAATGGTAATTTCCCAAATTAGGGGACCCCAATATAGACCCCAATATACTATAATCCTTATTACGGGGACCCCCAAAAAGGTACCCCTAATTTCGGGAAACCCCTAAATCTGCCCAGGTGCACCATAAAGATCTTGCCAGACGCAGTCCTTGAACAGCTGGATGCGTGCAGTTGGGGGTCCTACATTTGGGTGGTTGTCAAAATTATGGTCCGTCCCTTTTTGGGTACCCTAAATATTAGCTGCCGTATTATACTAGGGACCCAAGAAGGGAGCATAATTTTGACAACCACCCATTTAAAGGAAGAATCTTGCGCCTGAGAGGGATGATACAAATTCCCACAGCGGTCAGAGGTCTATACCAGAGGCCCATGATTCCAACCTCTCATGCAGATGACTTGCTACTGTCAAGTGTAAGTCAACGTCCCCACAATGCACAACGCAAAGGCCTGAACATGTCAATTATACTTCAGTTCTGCAAAGGTAAGGTAAGAATATGGTTTAGTATTCAGACATCTGCATTAAACATCATAAGCCCCTGTATGAACCCCGTTTCCATTCATTCTCCATAGTCGCGTTCCCTTGCTCGATTCTATTCCTAAAGCCCAAGCCCTAACAAGTCCCTATATAACCCACAAGCCTATGTAATGTATCCCTATATAACCGGTACATACATCCTATGGCAAACAGGCAACCAAGCATCAATTGCTCAGCGGCCATGGCAAGTGCTTCAGCTTCCCGAACGTCAGCTGTCATAGGTTTCCTGCAAGAACACAGTTCTCTACAGTTTAATCGTAATCCCCTCCTACCCAATTGGTATACCCCAGGGGTTGCGGGTAGGGTTTCGAGTCTAGAGGGCCGGATGGTGATGTTGTACGGCTCTGGCTCGTCTACGTTCAAGTTGAACGGGCTTTGACCAGTTTTCTGGGTGCTGTTAAAGGAACTCAGATTAAGTTACCGTGTTAATGGTACATAGCAGCCTTATGATCGTAGCCCTAAACTCGAAATTAACCCTTTGCTATGTGAGTGCCCAGACATCTTAGCTTGCTTCTGGCTGGGATGGTCTGCCGACAGCTTTCATAAACCCTAAACCGTTTCCTTCGTACCCTAAACCCTATAAACCCTTAATAATGTCTTCACTTACTATAGTAACTTCATTGAAGTTCCTTAACAGCAACCCAGTTTAGGGAGTTCCTTACAAGATTCGATAGGAAGTCACGCGGTTTAAAAGAATAGGAGGGAATACGGGAAGATCCCTATATAATATATTCCCTTGCTCCCTACTAAGAGCCAATCAGTTTAGGGTTTAGGGTGTAGGGTCTATGACGGACCACTGGAAAGCTTTATCTCACAAGATGATACTTTGGGACACCTCTTGTCATTGAAGGTTATGGAGTTAAATTTGCTACAATAACCTGCATGACCTTCATACACTATAGCACCATAATTCCCAAGGTCTGAGGTAGATAGGGTAAGGCAGGATTGGCATTCACCAATATGGAGGTACTTCTAGAACGAACCTTGCTTTAGTGAGGTAGACGGGCCTCTGTGAGACATGGCCATATGAGTGAGAGCTTTACCCAGTAAGTTTGTGCACCATTCGGGGTGTAGGTTCTAACCTCCCGCAGCCAAACATGAAATCCGCAGGGGGGTCCTGCAAAGACATCGGTTCGTCTACAAGGGCTTGCTTCGGGGGCCATCAAATGGTACGGGATGCTTCGACTACACGACTTGAGAGACTTGGATCTGAGCTGCACTGTCGTTTCTACAGCCTTCCGGGTACTTAGTGTGCGCGGAATTGCCAGGATTTGTCTCACTTTTTGTCAGCACCAACATCCAGGATATCGTACTCAAAGGAACAATACGTGGGGCTTCCAGTACGGGGCTATAGAGTTCACAAACCTTCCTCAGTGTTGGGCTCTTGGGGCCTCCGTGGCTGACCGTCTATGTCTACAAAAGAAAACCATCATATGTGCGTCTTCCGTGTTTCTTGTGTGAAAGGTCTGAGAGGCTACTTCCCGCTAGCAAACCGCATTCCCTGATCCTGACATGTGATTTAACATTATGTCTGCAGCTCACAACCGCGAACAGGAGCAACCCCTCGACAGTTCCGATGTAACCATACTCACAATGGCACTTGCAATATGCACAAGTCTCTACACCTTGGGCCTAAAAGCCATATCCCACATTTGGGGGATCCCATTGAGGGGTTCCCAACAAGCAGGGCTTTATCTACGTCCACACCAAAGTGCTGAGAAGCCACCCAAATTTAGGACAGCAAAGGGAAGAGGGACACAGATTGACACGGGCGTAGAGTGAATCACCTCGCTGAACTGATAATTTTCTCGGCCCCAGCTGCTCCACCATAATGTGAAGACCCGCAGACACAGCCTGCTGTCCTGTTCAGAACCACAATAAGCAAGCATGCTCCTTTTAGCCCAGGAAACCCCAACCCAAATCCTGAAAACAGGAATAACAATGGACAGGAGTTTTTACCAGCGAACTGAAGACCCCCACCCCCGGCAAAAGCAGCTTGAAGAGAGTTTGTAAACAGTTCCCTCACGAGATCGAGCCAGGAAAAGATGCTTGAACGGACCTCCTTTGAAAAAACAAAAGGATTTTACAACACACCGAAAGAATCAAATTCTAATTCCAGTCATATTTCCGCCAGATCTTCTTAACAACCCATAAGAGTCAAACAAGCTACGAATTCTCAGGTACCTCAATGAAAAGCCTGGGTAGTACCCAAAACACATGAGCAATGTTCTAAGGGTTATGGGTGGGCGGTCTAAGTTGGCTGATGAGTTTTCTCGTAACCAGGATGGTATCTGTTGACGGTCTCGCCTTCTCTGAGACTACCCACCCACTAGTAGTAGTATAGCTGGAACAAACGACTCTAATACCAGTAACATTATCACGTGCATTCACGGTTAGAAGGAAGGGCATCACCGAAATCCCGCCTATCTCTGCGTGAGTTGTATGGGTGGACGATATGATGACGCCATCCGTGGTCTTGGCCACGTTTGACTGAAGGAAATCGGCAAAACATGCGAACAGGGGCACCTGAGCTTGGGCTAACTTCCGTTGAGGACAAGCCTTGTGTCTTTTTTAAAATGGCATAGTAATACATCCATCATCTAACCTGTGGAGTAACCAGTAGCCACCACAACATGACTTTCAATTGCGTTTTCCAAGACATAATTGGGAATTTCCGATAACTAGGAGCCCTCAAAAGAGACAGTCAGTGAATCCCAATGTAGGACCTAAGCCGCTTATCCCTATAATCCATTATCGTAGTTTCCATTTTGTTTTTTCCAATATCCCAATATTACCCCAATATAACCCCTATGATAAATTCAAATATGGGTACTCCCAAAAAAGGAGCCCCAAAGTTTTTGGAAACTCCCACGTGGTCTTGTGCCCAAGTGAGCGTAGGGTCCCGGAAGCCCTGGAATC